AATCTATCTCATGCCAAATATTGCCAAAGATAATAAAATGAAAGGTGGTATGCAGAAGGGAGCAAAAATTGCGTTTAGAACAAGAAGCTATGAGTGATATATGTGAAAGGCAAGTGCTTTGTGGAACAGTTTATTCCATTTAATACATGTAGACCTCTCTATTTGTAGCTACTGCATTTTAAAGATATTTTGGAGGAGAGGTGTTATTCCAATTTTTGCTTACAAATGTATTTTAAAGAACCTCAGTCTCGCTCTGGTTCACAGCTTCCTTACAAGTTAACCTGAGCCAAGCAATGTTCCCTTTTGCTGGAGAATTTCTTGATAGCCTCACGTCTGTAGAGTAGGCCTTTCTCACTCCTCCTTATGAGAGGCTTCCTTGTGAGCCTTTAACAAGTTTTTATCTGATATGCAGTAGCTGAATGAGACTGTAAAGGGCTGACAAATATGCTGAGGTGTTCTCTCCTTCCTCTTGGGGTTCCTCAGACTTCAGAATCAAAGGAAAAACAGAGTCATCTACTGGTTGTCCATTTGGGAACAGCGACTTTTCTAATGTAGGAGTTAGGCACACATACCTTTTACAACACAAGCACTTCCTAGGCCCTAAGCACGTTATGGTGAAACAGAAAGCACAGGCCTAGAGGAAGCAACAGAAAATCACCAGAACAGAGCATGGAGCAGCTGTTGCTGTTAGGCTGTAAGGGGGAACATGGGGTGCTTCCACTGGAGCAGGCGCCCTCCCTTCCCTCAGCCCCCACACTGCCCTGGCCCTGCACTGCCACGAGCATCCCTGCAGCTGGGCATTGAACTGGGCCAGGAAGATTGTGGCCATAGCAGTGACCTTTTCAGGTGATGTCTGTGTGAAGGTGTGACTGGATGTGGCTCGTGTCAGGCTCAGCAGGCCTGGGTTTGTTGGGCCTCTGCTCCGTGCTGATGTTGGAGGCTGTCATGGTGCTCTTCAAAATCTGTGTGGGTACTTGAATAAAGTAAAACCAGAAGACATCACCTAGTTGTGGAGGAGAAGGAGACCTTTCAAAGTTGCACAGAGTGTGACATGGTAAGTTACAGGTACTGGCTGTGCCTGTTGGTGAGTAGGCAGTGGTACTAAGTCTCAGGTGTAGACATGCATATTGCCTCAGAGCTTTGGGGCACTCCATACCTTCCTTGCATTGGTTATCTCTGCTGTAGCAGCCACAGCAAGGTATTTTGCTTCTTGCTATTAATAGTGGTGGTTGGGAAGGGACCCCTACCTGTTTTCCCCACTCTGGTCCTGCATGATGACAAGCTGTCTTTGTAGAACAGGAAAGCTCTGTGGTGCTTGTGAGTGAGTAAAAAGAGGCCTCTGGTAAATGTGGAAGGAGTGTTCCTGAGAGTGGAACATCACATTTGGGTGAGATGTTGGAGTTTCTTGGGATATTATTTCAAATAGGAGATATAAAAGGAGTCAGGAAACAAAATATACCAGGGAGACCAAATAGCTGCCCGTAGGTGAGTACTGTGGAATGAAGAAGCTATGAAAGCTGTGAGAAAAAGTTATATCTTCTTGGCTCTAAGGGACATGGGAAGGGAGGTGGCTGTACTCATGCCCTGAATAAACAAGAATTGGTGCTCACTTTAATTTACAGAGAATATGGGAATTACTGTTAGCTGCAGAGCACCTTGTTCAGCATCCAGTCTCTAAGATACTGAAGATCAGAAAGTACCTCAAGACTGTACTGGAAACTGCAAGAATTACATGTGAGATAATCTGCCCCCCTCATGAAGACTTTTTTTTTTTTTTAAGGATTAGAAATTGATTTAAAGCCTGACTCATAAGATGTTATCTTCCTTTCATTTCTGCACATTTTTTGTGTGAAAGAACCATAGAACATCCTGAGTTGGAAGGGACCTCTAGTTCTGGATATTCTTGTTGTCCTTCTGCATGTCTAACCCTTGTTTGAATTCTGATAAAGTGCTTATCAGCAGCAGCATCCATGGCCTTTTTGTGTAGTACATGAAGTACCAATTTTCATATTTTTTAATCATTTTAATTTTTATATATATACTTTAAAATTTGTCACCTTTCAGCCTCACTATTTTGCATTCAGACAGTGAACATTTCAATAGGTTTTCATTCCCTAAATGCTTGCTTTCTCTGAACACCCAAATTCCACAACATTTTTTTTAGATGGACCTGCACTGTAATCCAGCTGATGTATAGGGTCCATCTATAAAAATAGAACTTGTAAGGGCTACCCTGTATCTTATTACTGTTCTAACATTTTAACTATTTTTCTAGCATTCTAAATTTTCAGCTTTTCTTGTCATAGGTGTATGTTAAGCAGAAATCTGAGGTGAACTAGCTGCAGTAGTGTCCAGACCCCTTTCCCAGGCTTATGCTATGAATGAGACAGGCTTATTTGGATTACTCCGCAGTGTATGTAGTTCAGAATTCCCTGTGCATTCTGCAACTGTTTGTGTTTGTTATCATCCATCTTATGCTGTCATGATGTAACTTTGCCTAGTACAGTTAGCTTCTGCTAAACTTCTTTCTCCTAGTCCTGATGTGGTTAAAACAAATTGCTGTGTGTCAGCTGCATGTTTTGCTCTTCACCTCTGAAACTTCAGATCATTAGTAAGTATGGCAAAAATGCTAGTTCTTTTGAACTAATAAATTTATCTATTAAATTAAAGTGTTGAGTTAAACTATATCTCAACAAGTAATCTCATCAGCTTTCTGAACCTGTGTTCCGAGTTCATACCTGGAGTGTTTTGGGCAAGCAGATTCCTGTCTTTTTCAACTCTGCTTGTTACAGCTAACTTTTTTTTTTTTTTTCATCATTTAGTTTCTTTTAGGAATGCTTAGGTCAAAATGCACTACACCGATTACTATTTTTTTCTCAAAGTGGGAATGTGAGGGTTTTTTTTGACAAGTTGGAAAGCAGCCTGGAAACAGGGAGCAGTTGTGTGTGAACTGCAGCTGTGAATTGCAAGAACTAATAGGAATTACTAACCTTAATTTTAGCCATGATAGTCTTACACACAACCACGTAATTAATAAACTGATACCTGCATCATGTAAAGACTTGGTAATTTCTTTTAGATGGATAAATTTAACAAATATTTTTTAAGGAACACTTCTAAAACGAGTCATGCTTTATACAGCAGTCTGTACTTTTTAATAAGCTTTTGTGTTCTATGTGCCTTGTCTTGTATATCTTGGCAATCTTGTAATACTGTGCTGTTAAAGCAAACATGAGACAGTGTAGTAGTCAGTATATCTGGAATACGTTGCCACAATGCTCACAAATACAATTCCTTCTTTTTCTCATAAGTTATTATAAAAGGTAGTAATTAAGACATTAGAATACAAATGCTGTGAGGTGTAAGTGCATAGTAAATTGAACCAATTTCAAGATTACTTAGAACCTGCAAAAAACCCAAGACTCAGAGCCTGTCCGAAAAACCCTGCAAGTCACCCTAAAAACTTGTTTAAACTGCACATGTCAAGATGGAAATCATGCAGGCAGCTTCCTGCATTGCTTGATGCTTACTGGACATTAGGAGGAGGTTCCTTCTAGGTCTTTGCCAGTTGGGTTAAGAATTTGATTTCCAAAATATTGATGTTGTAGAGGAGAGAGCACCTTAAACAGTTAATACTTACACTGATAAATTCAAAAGATGATGCAAGCATAGATACCAAGCTTGTAAAACCAGGGGTCCTTTGCTTAATAATGTGCGAGAAGATTGTAAATCCTTCCTTGGGTCTGTTTAGGTAGACCTTTGTCTGGTGTGACCGTGATACATACACAGGAACTGGGAGAATTTTTTTGCTGTGTTTACCTTGACAAACTGGCTAACACACAGAGAAAAAACCTGATCAAACTGGACACCTCCTTAAAAATGATAAAAATCCACGGGAAACCTGCAGTACTCTGTTTTGTAGTTTGCACTTTTGAAAACATATGATACTCAAAAAAGTTGGGTATATGGCAACGGAAACTAAAACTATTAAAACTCGGGTTAGAGAAAACCAATTAAACGGGTGTCACTAATAACATAATTAAGAACTGTTTGGTAATGTGTATTGTTAATAGTAATAGTGCAGGGGTTTTCATTTGTGCTTTCTGGCAGATGAAGTACAGCATGGCAGAGACTTGGGATTGTAGAAGAGAATGGATTTACATGTGCATGGGCACAGGCTAATCTTGACATTCTTATAAAAAGTAATGTATAGATTACTTAAAATTAAGTGAGTTTACAATGAATTTCTTTTGTTGCCAGTTTGCAAGTATATAGTTATAAGTAGAGTATTATTCATCTGCGAGCATTTGTCTGACTAATGTCTGTTTTTGTGTGGAACATAAAATCATGACGAGGGAGATGCAGAACAAAATTCCAGATGCTTGGGAGAGAGAATTCAATTTTCTTCTTCCAAAAATTTGTAATTTTTATTTTTTGTTTGTACGCTTTTGTTTGTTTGTAAGGAAAAACAGCTTTAATTATTTGCTTCTTTTTACTTCCTAACAGTTTATAAACTGATGTTGGAACTAAATATTTGGTATGTACACATTTCAGTGTTTTCACACACACACAAAGGCTCATTTGAACAGTCACGTTCAGTAGTAAATATACAGATTTAGGTTTATATACATTGATTTGCCTTCTTTTTATGTTAGATGTAGTTACTGCTTTGAAATGCTGTTTTATCTCGATTAGCAGTCATTTACCATGAGATGGAAATTTCTTATTATACTGGGATTTGAAGTGTGACCCTACTGCTTTAGGCAGTGCCTCCAAGGAGTATTCTCTTTGCTATACCATTGAAGCATAGTTTGCATTGAAATGTACATTTCCCTGACTTTTTGTTTAAAATGCAGTATCTCAAATGTGGTCATGGTGCCACCACATCTATATTGACTCTTCTAAATCTTTTTCTCAGAGGGCCAGTAAAGTTCAGGAGGGAGAGGGGGATTTCTCCTTCTTCCCACCTTTCTACTGATCTGAGCATCCTCTGCCTCCAGGCCCTTCCGAAAGCAGAAATGCTCTACTGGTGGTTTTGCTCCAGCTCTGGAGAGGTGTGGTGCTGCTGGGTAGAGAGAAGCCTGAGTAACTGGGCAGCACAGAGCGGTACACAACATTGGTATTGTGGCTGTGGAGGTAATGGCCATTCCTCTTATTTGGTATTTGGAGTTCTGTATATTTACTATTGTATTGCCGTATCCCTGTTGGGAAGATTTCCTTGTATTTTGAAGTTCTTTGTTAGATATTAAATACTTTCATATCAGTATTTAAAGAAGAACTGAAAACTAATTCTCACAGATCAGCGCAGAATTTAGCATTCATTGCACTCTGCCTACATGCTGGTGTTTGGAAGTTATGCAACCTCTTTTTATAGAGTTGTGTTTTCTGGTGATCTAGACTTACTCAGTTATTGCTTAAAAATAAAAGTTTGTCATGAAACGTGTAAGATACAAAACTGAGGTCATAACAATACTGTGTACCTCTTAGTATAAAAATAATTACTTGCAGTAAGGTTCATATAGAAATGCCTTCTGTCTTTACGTATATGATCTTAAAACTGCAGAGTAGAAAAGACTAAGTCCCTGTGGCATAGATAGGCCTATACACAGTCTGGTTGTGGAAAGAATTTGGATGGAGATGTTGCGTATTTAGCTCAGACGGAAGACTGAAAGCTAAGTACGCAACACAGAAATAATTGCTGTTGGTTACCTGCAAACTGCAGTCTCGGGGAGAGGGAGGGCTGAGCAGGGAATGCCTTTAAGACTTGATTATGGCATATTTTTACCTTGGCACTTGGGCTTCCTGACAAACTGTGGGTCACTGTTCCAAATTATGGAGGTACTAGATCATCATAGTACAATTGCTCAAGCAATTTTTTTAACATGAGCAAAACACATTTTTTTCTGATCTCATTTTTGGAGGAGACTGGACCAGTTTTTTCAGAAACATTACACACAGAAAATTCAACCTGAGGCAGACACATGGCATGCAAAACTTTGCCTGAATGCTAATAGTTTGGCAACATTTTAATATGCAAATGAAACTAATATGTAGTAATGGGAATTCAGCTGCAGTGATTGCTACCAGATCCACCAAGTGTAATGGAATTGCATACCAACACAGACTTATGACAAATATTGTGATTGTAGGTAACTAAATGACCATGGAATCTGGAGCAGAGAACCAGCAGAGTGGAGATGCAGCCGTTACAGAGGCAGAAACCCAACAGATGACAGTACAGGCACAACCACAGATTGCAACGTTAGCCCAGGTATAAAATGATATGGTATAATAGTTTTACCTATTGGGTAATTTTTTTTAGAGGGATAATGTCTGCTTATGGGCCTGAGAGAAGGTCCTATTGATACGATTCTGAAACAGGTGCTATGTATAGTTCCTTTAATGTTTGTCTTCAGAATTTTATAGCAGTAGAGATTTTTAACTTCACATCACACAAGGCTGTTAGTTCTGAAGAACTGTGTGTATGTAAACTGTGCAATTTTAACAGAATAATTAAAGTTTTCTAGCATTCTTTACCACAACCATACCACTGAAAGGTGTTTGTTTTTTTTTTTAAACATGTAGTTTATTGTCTTTTTTTATATTGACTGGATTATTCTGCTGTTGTTTTTTCTGTTAGAATCTTGTCTATAGCAGATTAATTCTGAAGGAAATAAACTCAAAATCTAAGATGAATACTATAAACATTATGACCAGGTGGAACAAACTGGTATCTGACAGCTCATGTTATCCTATTGAATTTCACAGAATTGTTCGCTGCTCAGAGAGATAGTAGATCTTTTATTATCCCAAATTTATTTTGGAGAGACAAGAAATTATGTAATCCCAGCTACATCTCTAATTTTGGAACCTGGGGTCATTCTTGGATACATTAATGGCTGGCAGGAGCAACTCCGTTGTGTAAATGAGTACAGAGTCTGTTCTTCTCTATCATGTAACCATTTCATTTTAAAACTAAAATTTTGCAGTCTGTAAAGAACTAACAGGTTTTTTAGTTCACACAGTCTGGGGAATTTAATGTATTTTAAGTGGCACAAGTGTTGAATCTCTTAAATTTTATAAATGATTAATGTCTGTAAGAACTCTTTATACCATTTAGTAAAGCAGAGATAGCACACTTCCATTCAAGTGATATTACAGAGATCAGAGCTGTTGAAATGAGCAGGGTGGTTTTTGTTCAGTGACCTGTAGTGTGAATTTTCAGGCCACCAGCTGCCTTGCACCAGCTTGCCTCTTTGGGCAGTTTTCTCACTGTCTAACTTAGGCAGAGGATGTAGGTGGTGTGAATAACACTTAGAGTCAACTAAGTGGAAGTCGTTTATTTCTCTTGCAAAACCAGTAAACTGCTTCTCACTTTATATGCATTAACATATAGTCCAGAGAAGCAAGCATGTTTTAAATTTGTGTGTTGACATACTACCCTCCAGGTAGCTAAATTTACAGGTATGTAGTGAATTGAATGCACTTCACTCAGGCAAAATTACCCTGGCACTTGAATGAGAATTTTTTTCTGACTAAGAAGAAGCTATACAGCTACGGTTAAAACCCATGCAAACTATAAGCAAATACGTAATATTTTCCCTAATTTCCCCTGTTGTCATTTACTGTATTATTTGCACCTTGGCTATTTCCCAGACTTTATATTCCTTTTGAAGGTGACTGAACAGTCTAAATGTAATGCCTTTTCTTGTTCTGATCAGCAGTTTTACGTTAGTGTGTTATTTTTGATATGTGATGCAGCAGTGTTTGGCATTAGGGAGTGCCCTCAGAGGCTTAGGCAAATCTGAATAATTAATTATGTCTATTTAATTCTTTCATTATCTCTTGTAAGATCACCCCCTTTGTAAGCTGAGTTTAAGCATTGCATTTTTAGCGAGTTCAGGGTAGTTTTCAGAGTCAAAAGGAAACTGTTCCAGTTCCACAAGGTATGAGTCAGAGACATCTGCGGAAGTTGCATTCTGCTGTTGGCTTCGTGAAACCGCAGAGTAGCCTCCAGTTGATCAGCTTTGCTGTCATTGCCAAGGACTGTTCAGTCAGGCACGCAGTATTAAAAAAGGTCGCTTGGTGAAGGAGTGTGATTTGCCAGAGGAGAGTTCATGCTAATCTCAGTCCCAGTTTCTCTCAGATGTGAGTTAAGTACCGCCACGTAACACCGCAGCCATTTTCAGGAAAAAGGAAGGGAAAGGCAAACACAGATTGTGGGTTAGGAAGGGACAGCTGTGGAGGAGAGAGGTCTACATGTAATTCCCCTTAATTTTGTTGTTGAGCAAGATTTCTTTGTAAATGATGGATGTTTATGGGAATTCAGCGGTCAGCTGTTGCAGCGTTTTGAGAGCCACGTGTCCATGAGGACAGCAGAGGATTTACTTCTGCGGTCCATACACAGCACTCTCTGGGATTAGGTGGGACAGCAGTACAACCCCTTCTCCCATTGGAGCTAAATGGATTGAATTTCTTGAAAATGCCATTACACATAGGAAGACTTACTTTGTTCGGTGCCCAGGAGCAGGCTGCCTAGTGAGGGACCCGTCAGCTGGCTGCGGCCTACGAGTCCTTTCTGAGGGCTATGATGGTGAGTCAGGAGCCAAGGAGCCCCAGGAACGGCCACGTGCATCGTGTCACCAGCTTGGGGCTGAGCACCAGCATCTGCCCAGCTGCAAAGCAACCCCAGTGCACGGCCTGTCAGTCGCCCATCGTGGTTCTTGTCACCTGCCACAGTGAAGAAGCAGGACTTCCCTGCATGGCATGAACAGCTCTTTGGGTACTGCTGTCCCCGGGGCTGGAGCTCCTGTGACGGGGACATCCACAGCAGCAGTTAGCTGCTGGCATAGCCACCGTGCCTGGGGGTCTGTGCTTTACAAGAGAATTTGTGTTTAGAGACTGAGGTTTTAGGACTTGGGCCATTTTTCCTCATAGAAATAAAATAACTCTAAGACTAGAGGTTGTGTTGACTCATTACACTGGATCAAAATAACTGCCTACAAACGGCTTGTTCTTCTTCAGACCCGTTTTTTCTGTCTAAACACATGGTCAGTTTTCTTCATTTGAATGGACTTTGCCAGCTGCTCTGCGTGGTTTAATCTCCAGAAAGTCTGAAAGATATGATTCCCTAAAAATTCTAACTTCTTACATCTGGCAAATAACTGCATTTTCTTGAGTGAAAACAAAAATAGCTCCACTCCCATATGTTTCTGCCTTTGACTCAACAGTGTCTGTAGGAGTACACCCAATTCTTAGCAGTGTGTAACTGAAGTAAGTGAAGGTTAATAATATGTTTTTATTAGGTTACCTCAGAATAGATGCAGTTGTGTTTTTATCATTCTTTTCAGTGTTTTTACAAGTGATGTTTTAAGCCTGCAGAAATTTTGCATTAGATTAATTTGTAAAGTAGGTCAGCTGTTGGGCATAGGCAATTCAGAGGTTTTTGTGTTACACTGAAACATTTGGGTCATCTAGCTGGTGTCTAGAAGAGACATTCTTCTTTCACCAGAAAGTGTTCCTGATCATGAAAAAAAAATATTTTGCAATAACTTAATTTATGCTCACTGTCTCTTCTTTGCAGGTATCTATGCCAGCAGCTCACGCAACGTCTTCTGCACCCACGGTGACCTTAGTTCAGCTGCCCAATGGGCAGACGGTTCAAGTGCATGGAGTAATTCAGGCTGCCCAGCCATCAGTTATTCAGTCTCCACAGGTCCAGACAGTTCAGGTACTTTCTGAAGAACTTCCTAATACATTAATTGTGCCTTCAGAATGGTTCTGCCAGTTCGCTGGTTTCTTAGTGGGCTCATGTCCTGGATTATGTTTTCACTTCTATAAACTTAATGGCAAAATCTGTACATTATTTGCTACTCTGTGACTATTTTCTGTTCTGTTTTAACCACTTTACACTTTCATACATCACTGAGTATCATTTCCCTCTAGAACTCTGTTGGTGAGTTTAACAGCTTAATGTTTTTTCTTACAGTATTTCTCTTTTCTTACATTATTTCTCTGTTCTCTTTACTGTGTTTTCCTACAGTAAGAGTATGACTAAGTGTTCAAATTATCCTGAAGTGAACAACAGCAATTTTTCTTATAATGTAACCTGTTAATCGTTAGTAAAGCTGATATTCTGGGATTAGAGTCTTTGCTGCTTAGAAAATGTTTGCATTGGTTTAAAAAACACATCTGTATGTTAATGGTCTTTAAAATATACTTATTAGTCTCCTCATAAAAATAATTTTTAATTTGCTGGCTGAATGTTGTCTTTCTTCTGTAAAGAAAGAAAGTTAATGCAATGTGAATGAAGAGAGAGCTTGAAGAGTTAGGAGAAAAGTAGTCTGAAATCCATGGCCCCTTTCCTTCATTTTCCTTTGGAACCACTTCAAGTCCAGTGTTACTGAACACAGAAATTGGTTTGAGTCTGGCAGCTACACAGGGCAAGGACTGTACATCATTCCTTAGTTATTAGTACATTGAGCACAGAAAAAAAAGGTTAATTTTAAAAGGTAGACATTGTAATTATTTGATACAGACATCTAGCTGGGTATTATTTGTAAAAATAATAAAGCATGCATAATTTAAAACTAGGTCATTCTGATAGTAATCTTTGTGTATTCCTTGTCAGCTTGAATGATGAGTTTCTGGCAGGCTCTACCCTCTTCAGCTGCCGGAGTCAGAAGTTTAGGGTTTTAATCTATTGGAGACAAGCAATTTTCAGATAAGTGCACAAGTTACTAGCCCAGGGGTGGAAGATAAGAGACTGACAATGAAAGCATGGTTGGAATTCACCTGGCTCAGTGCAAAACAAGAATGTGTGTGGAATGCTGCGATACTCAAAGCCTGGTAGTTCACAATCAGCTTTGGACCCATCCAGGCCATCTATCCGATAACTGAGATTTGGGAGCCAGCAAGTTTTTTGAGCCTTGAGGTATCTTCCCTACAGTGCTTGAAGTGTCAGGCCGCGAGCTATGTTCACATAGGCATTTTGCCCTTCACTGTCATTAGCTTTTGTATATTTGTAACATGAGTATAGCCATTTGGAAAACAGTCTCTGTGTTTTTATGCTGGAGATTTTTTATATTTTTGGCACACTTTGAATTTAAAATTACGGAACTATAATTGATAAAAACATTCCAGATTTTCTTCATCAATTTTTGTAATTTTTTTTAGCACAGATTTTCAGAATTCTATCACTGCATTATTTTGTAGCATCTTTAGTTATGAAATTTTCCTGACAATTTCCCCAAAGGAAAGGTAATCTTTTTGTAATATGTCCCTACACTGATTTATAAGTTAATGTTTCTCAATTTCAATATTTTGCTCTTTTGTTTTCTAACCTTTCTGCTTTCTATCTTAATTTGTTTTCAGTTTTTCTCTCCCTAAATCTGACTACCTTTTTGGTTCCCTTAAAAAGGATGGAAACAAGGTCTTTCTTGAAAAGGAACAGAAGTATATGGGATTACTATTTGTATTTTCTTATTGGGGCTTTTAAATTCTAAGGGACACATTAAATACCTGGGTATCTCATGGGTAAATACCTGGCTCTGGTTGTTCTTCACTCTATCCATTACCAAACAGCCTGCCCTTTATGTTCATTGCCTAGGTAATAGTTCTCTTTAATACTTGCATTTTAGTGCTTTTCACATATCAACAATTCCTTAAAATACAGACATTGGAAACGTCCTGTTAAATTTGATTGCTGTTCTTATTTTCAGATCTCCACTATAGCAGAAAGTGAAGATTCACAGGAATCAGTGGACAGTGTCACAGATTCACAAAAACGGAGAGAAATTCTTTCCAGACGACCGTCCTACAGGTATGGGGGTCAAAAGCAGATGCATTTTGCTTGATGGATGTGTTCTTCACATGGGGAGTCAAATGGTGGGATTCAGTGGTTATTTTCAGATCTACTGTTTTACCAAAATCTCTCTTCTGCAATGTCTTCTTCTGTAATAGGATGTAAAGAGATAAACAAATATGAGAAGGAAGAAACCTCAGCTGTTACACTCAATTAAGACAGAAATGAGCTGAGAATAAGCTGATTGCAAAATTTGTGAAACATTGAGGTTTCACTGTGCTTGGTGTCTTAAAAATAAATTTATTGCATACTTAACACACGCATTACTCTGAAGCTTTGCAAGAAAGTGGCTTCTGCATAATCTGTAGTCTGCATAAAATCGATTCTATTGTTTTTCACTGTTTTGAAATGCTAGCAGCCATCAAACTTAATTCCTTTCTCCCATGTAACTTTCAATGAACACGGGGTGTTCTGTGGCTCAGAGAGAATTTCTATCTGAGCGAAATTATGTTTAAAGTTATATTTAAACTTTGAGAAGTCAGGATGTGTTTAATGGAATGATAGACATCTAGTACATGTTACTTTATTAATTAAGCCCATCCACAGCTTTTTCTGGCTGTACTAAATCTCATTTTTCATTCTTAAAACATGCTAAATAGTTTCAAAGAATAGCTATGGAGTTCAGCAGTTTTTAAGTGACCTGTGGATTCCTGCTGCTTCAGAAATTTCATCTGCTCCCTTTTTTCATTATGAACATAGCCTTAGAAATATAAGACAGACTCTAGTCTAAGCATATCTCACCCATATGTTTGTGTTTTTTTTAGCAGTTGGAGATTATTTTCTACATTCTATAGGAGCCTTCAAGGCTGTCCTGCTGAAGATAGTACAAATCTCTGCTGAATATCCCTAACCATAATATATCTGGGAAAACACCCTTATTTGTGAGGAGCAGTTAACATTACTACTCCTAATGTTAACATTAATGTTAACATAAATGCTGTTACAGACTTCCTTGCAGTCTGCTTCTGCAGCGAAACACTTTTACTATATATGGAAGAGTAGCTGAATATCATGAGACAACAGAGCTAAATAAACAAACAGCAAAACTGAAAAGAGGGGACTTGTGCATGCTAACTTCTCATTTGGATTGTACTCCCATGCCTGCACTGATGCCACACCACAGCCTCTGTCCTTCAAATCAGATCCTGGTAACTGCAAAACTTAGTGATTGTAAAGCTTGTATACATAGCTCAGCCTCTGGGCCAGGCTCAGCCAGAAAGGTTGATCCAAACTACAGCTGTATTTGGTGACTTCCTATTGGCTTTATCCAAGGTGTTATAAATGACCCTAGAGACAATATTGGTACAGATAAGTTCACAGAACTGAAGAGCTGTACCTCTTCCTCAGAAACTCCACTTTGATCCTGGTACTGACATACATCATGTGTTCTCCATGTCAGTTCATATCTCGTATATTTATATAGCTATCACCTTACCTTCTACTTTAAATCCATCTTTAAGAATGCAAAGATAGAGTTTAACTATCAAATGGTATCTGGCATGAGTTTAAAATTGGGTGAGCTGTAATTTCTTCTTTTCTATTTTGAGCTTCTTGGATTTTGTTCTTCCTCATCCTGCCTGCTTTCTCTATATTTTAATCTGTTTTGTCCACTAATTTTTCTGGTCTAACACCTAGATGGCAAACTGTCTGGGCGGGAATTTGTTATTTGTCCAAGTGGTGCTTGGCACAGTGGAGTGCTTGTGCAATGCTGGGGTTCCTGCATGCCCACAGAGCTGAAATAGTAACAGCAAAGCTCTGTTTGTCAAGTTGCTTAGCAGAGTGACCAGTCTCCCCAGATAGCTATATGTACAGAAGTTCTAGTTCCCAAGGCCTTAGGAGCCTTATTTAAGCAATGACTGTTGTCTTGGAGCTTAGGATCTACAGTTGTGTTTTCTTCATCACACTTTGAGCTGTAGAGACAGTTCACAGGAAAGTATATGAGGAGAATTAAGAAAAATGTTCCCTTTCACCTAAGTAGCATTTTTCAGTGGCATAGTAGAATGTGCCAGTACTAAAAAGGGCTTGACGGTCCTCTCTGAGGGACAGTGCTTATTCTAAATGATGCAAGTTACAATTGCTATGGTCAGTCTTACAGTCTCAGTCAACAGGACCTGTAGCTGTGATGTTTTAGCTGTTTGGTCTTTGGATAATTAACCCATGGACATAATTAACAAATTGTTTTTTTTCTTTACCAATGCTAATCTCAAAGCTTTCCCAGGCAGGGTTTTTACCTCACTGTAAACATAATAGTGTGACTCCACTCAAACAGTCAGCATCGTCTCCCAGGAAGCTGTTCAGTTGTAAGCTGGTTGCTCTTTACAGGCATTTCTAACTTCCTTTATTTCTGGCTCTCTGGCTGAGGCCTTTACAGTCTCTGAAATGAAGCAGTTCCCCCGATGTAAATGAGGAGATAGTTTTTTGCATACTCTGCTTTCTTCAAATCTTTTGTGGGTAAAAGCAGGAAACAAGTAAAAATGCATGAGATAGAAACATGTTTTTAAGAAAACGGGAAGGTTGCAGTAGCTGTCTCTTGGGTTGAGAAGTACCTGCATTGTTCTTCGCTGGCTCCCTTGCCCATCTACGCATGGCACTTTGAGCAGCCTTTTCCAATAAGAGTTTGAAGTTAGTCTGGGTTTTTCATTCCATATTTACCTTGCTGGCTCACTGCACTTTGCAGTTTTCCTCAGAATTACGTATCAAAAATACTTTTTTTTCCTCCCACTTTTTATTAAAATCTCTACAACACACTGTCTTTGCCAGAAAAATTTTGAATGACTTGTCTTCAGACGCCCCAGGAGTGCCAAGGATCGAAGAAGAAAAGTCTGAAGAGGAAACAGCAGCACCTGCCATCGCCACTGTTACGGTGCCAACTCCCATTTACCAAACCAGCAGTGGGCAGTACAGTATGTAGTCTGAATTTCTCGGTGGTGCTAGTAAGTGGGGATGAGAAGATGAAGAGCTATCATTTATATAATTGTTTGGGCTAGGACAAAGCAGGAGGTGAAAATAAGATTACTTTAATTTGACTGTTGGATGACCATGCCCTTTAAACACATCGCTCTTGTAAATATTCAAAATGGTCAGTGAACATTCTGGGACTGCTTGCCAGCTAGTGCAGCTAATGTGCCCTGAGGCAAAATATGAGTTAACCACAATGCTGTTATAAACTTTTTAGCTTCAGGAACCAGATGAGGTAATTCAGAAGTTTCCTTTTTTTCTGACAGATTGTTAATCCCAGGTGACCAAATTGTTGGCTACTTAATAGAAAAACCACTAGTCTGCCATTGCATTTTTAGAAAGTCCTGAAAAAAGAAGGACTTAGCAACCTTTTTTAAAACATGTAGTAAATCAAAGTTTCTGTGTGTTTTCAATGTCTTTATTCATTAGATTTTATAGATAACGGTCCTTTGACTTAAAGAGTTGAGGATACAGCAGTAAAGCTAGAATCCACATACTGTTTCGCACAAGCAAACTCAGTATTAAATGTACAAGAGGGAGAAAGAACTCTCGGTTCATATCTTTCTCTTAAAATCTCTTTAAAATGTCGTATCTCTGTTTACTCCTTAGCCACTTGTACCCTGCCTAACTTTGTTGAAACTGATGTGGTTAACTCTGCTTTCTTACCGTAACTGTAAAAACTACCTGGTCATGTAGATACCTAAGATTTTGGTATGTCTGTATATAGGAACACAGTGAAATTCTGTGGAAGTAGAAATGAGAAGTGATGTCTCAGTGCACCTCAATGACAGGATTGAGGGAAAGGAAAAACAAAAACAAAGACTGCATGAAGGAAAGAAAATAATGTGTGAAACTGGACCTGTATGAGTGAAAACACTGCTAGGAAGGTGCTGAGGAAGTTGTAGACAAGGGGAGGAGATACAATCAGAAGAAAAAAGTGCCAAAGCAAGAAGAAAGTGAAACACAAGATGGATAGCAGTAGCAGCAGAGGAGACTGAAGGGAGTAAAGCATGGAAGAGGCGAGGAATTTCAGATGAGAAGAAAAAGGCAAGGAAAAAAACCTAAACCAACCAAGAAGAAAATACTAACTAATAAATAAGAAGTATTCCCCAGGGGAGGATTGTAGCTCCTCTGTGTGATGTTGTTAGAGTAACTAATTTGTGTTTTAAGCTGTGGTTTTTGTGTCTCCCCCAAAATGAGTCTCATGAAAAATTAAAAGCTTACTGTCAAAGTATGATTTCTTTAAATGTACATTAAAGTCATGTATCTGATTTGAAGGTGTATAAGGGTTCAGAGGATTTAACTTGAACCAGTAGTCTTCTGCATCTAGGTTTATTACTATAAGTTAATGAGTGCATTAATGTCTTAAATACTGTATCCCATTGCTTCATCTTCAGTTGCTATTACGCAAGGAGGGGCGATACAGTTGTCTAACAATGGCACAGATGGCGTGCAAGGTCTTCAGACATTGACTATGACCAACGCAGCTGCAACCCAACCTGGCACCACCATTTTACAATATGCACAGACCACAGATGGACAGCAGATACTTGTACCCAGCAACCAAGTTGTTGTACAAGGTGAGATACTTCACAGCCAGTCATTCTGTTTAACATTTTCTTCACGTGGATATAAGTTGCCAACCTAACTCCCTCAAACATGTCAGGAAACAAACAACTTTGGTACAAAATCAGTCTCCAAAATGATTAAAGAAAATTCTGGACAAAGCTGTTTGTCACATTTTCTCGGAGCCTTTCACTTCAGATCAATACATTTACAGATATTTGGGTCTTACTTCTTAAAATGATATATTCAATTTTGGTTTTCCATGCTGTATTTCTGCACTCTGCCTACATGATTTGTGTTACATGTTCTACAAAAAATGATTAGTAAGTTTTCCCCCTTTACAAGTGGAAGTCATAATTCCTTTCTGTTGTGGGTTTGTAGCTAGTCACCAAATATTTAAGCATCAAGTCTTAGAATCATAGAATACTTCAGAAAAGTGCCCTAGGTCATTTCATCAAGACCTCCACTTAGAGCAGGGGTACTTCAGTCTTAGACGAAGTTTCTCTTTTTTATTAAAATACATGTTTGTTTGTTTTTAATTAGGGGGAGGCTATTGAGAAAAATATTTATTATAAATAACAGAAAATTGTATCCCTGCCTTTATGATTGTAAAGCAGGTAATTTGAAGGTTATCCAGTGGAGAGGTCTCCAGGCACCAGTGAAAATACATAGCTGAGAAAAATACTATTATTGCATTAATTTTCTGGTTTTTGTGTTCTTAACCAAGTGTGGTCTTGTTAGGTGGTATAATATTTTTTATACTCAGGCAGGTATAATACACTCCTAGATTAAAACAAATGAAAGAAGGCCAAGATGTTTTTCATTCTAGAGAAGTGGTGGAGTAGTGTGCCTAATTTGCACTCTCTTGTTGGAGTAAATGCTACATTTCTATACCCTTCTTTCTGCCCCAGATACTTGCACACGTAGTTTCTCCTTTTGCAGGTAGAAATTTGGAGCACAGCTAGAAATACCACTTAGCATCCTACATTTTCTTACCAATGCTAAAACTGCCTAAAATCAGAGAAATAAAAGAAATGTACTAAGGGAAGAAGTACAGCAATGCAGCAGACAAATCAAGTTACCAAGCACAAGTGAAGACTTCTTCAGCAGGAATGCTCAAACCTTGCATATGTTTAATAAACTAAGACTGAGATGGCAATGATGACACACACAGATGATGGTCATCCATCCTGTACTGTAGCTCAAAATGTGTGGTTAGATAGATGATTAACGGTACTGTCACCAAACTGATATGGTCACCGGTGTTTTTCATCTTTCAGCTGCCTCGGGAGATGTGCAGACCTACCAGATTCGCACCGCCCCTACCAGCACCATTGCACCAGGAGTAGTCATGGCATCATCTCCAGCACTTCCAACCCAGCCAGCAGAAGAGGCCGCACGGAAGAGAGAAGTGCGTCTAATGAAGAACAGGCATGTACCTTTAGATCCTTTTTTTTCTTTCCCGATCAGCTCTGCATAGAACTAGAGTGTTAAGCAGTAAGAATCCTGATCTTTCTTAGTCATTTAAAGATGCAAAGCAAAGAAACACATCTGCGAGGGCCATGCATTGATTAGGACACCTTAAGTAACGGTGTCAGACTCATTCTGTGAGGTGAGTGAATTACTCCTTCCCTTTTTTTGTTGCCATAAGGAGAAAAGTCAGTGGTGAGAGAGTTGTTTGATTGCAGGTGTGTTGTCATGAACACTGAGGTGAGTTGATTTTTTAAAGTTAATACATTCATGTAGTTTTCTTTCCTGAAATCTATAGCTTAGCCTCCGGTCTGCATTATCCTTGCTACTGGCTGACTCACTCTCTTCATGAGCGCTTTCTATCATGTCTCACTTGTTCTCTTTAGCTGCTTGCCCTTTGGGTTTTATTCTCCAGAGGCAGAAAGACTCAGGGGGAGGCTAAATGAGCAGCTATGCTTTGTGGAGTCAGTATTGGCAGGACAGGGGCTGAGAGAGGAGACTTGACCCATAGGAGTTAGTGTGTGGGGAGGAGGATCCACCAAGCCTCCTTAGGGGCTTCGTGGGGGCTGCCAAGAAATGGAACTGCATGGGGAAATCAGGCTGATGCTCCTTAAGAGTACCTGCTGTGAAAGAGGAAAGTGGTGAGCCTTAGCGGACCCATCATCACACCAGGCTTGAGCTCCCTCCACAGGCCAGAGATTTGAGCCTGTATGTTACACCCTGACGGGGAAAGGGCTGTGCTTCCCTCCCCTCTGTGGAGGGAAAGCCCCAGGAAGTGCTGTTGAATTGGTCTGTCAGTCTGTTGTGTCACACAGTTGCATTTATCTTCTGTGGATTGTTAAGCTGTGAACACAACAGAAAGCCTGAGCAAACCCATTGCTTGTTTGGGTGATTTAAAAGAAGAGGTAAATAGTGCTGAAGAACAAGAGTTCACTTTTTAAATTTTTGTTTTTTTTTTTTTACATAATCTCACCTGTCTCCCCTTTTTACATATTTCTTGGATATCAGTATATAGTAGATGTCATTGTTCACCCATTCTAGCTCTGCATTTGTGAAAAAATTATTTAAAATTCTGAATCCCTTCACTGAGTCAGAAACCATACTCCAGGAAAAGACAGCTTTGCTGTTTGGAAAGGCCAAGAAAAACAGTAGAAAATTATCTCCATTTGAGTTAAATGGATAGCTTTTGCAACAGTATCATGTTGCTTTTGGTGCTTTTAGCCTGCCTACTTAATAGGTATTTGCAAATCTGGGCTCCACAGGGAAGCAGGGGAAAAGGATGTAGAGGAGGTATACGGGGAGGTGGTACTTATTGAAGGATTGTAGTGTAAATATTCATAGATATTATTGTGCAATTTCTCTGTGAGCAATTTTTACATTTTAAAAGCTGTTGTGTAAACTACTGTAACTCTAGCTGTTCATAATGCAAACCTAATGTACACAGACTCAAAGTGGCTTAACACGCAGCCCAAGCTGGCACAAAGTCACAGAAAGAAAAAGCTGTCACCCGAGAGACAACTTAGTAGCTCACCACTGGGAGGCACAACTCTTTCCTGATGTGGTAGTAGTTAATCTATTGGTGAAAAAAGTAATAGAATAAAATGACTTTAAAATACAAATGTTCCACGTGGCCCACTGAAGTGCTACAAGCACATGAACCTGTGTTTGTAGGAGTGTGAAATGGATACCTGAGTCCTTTCAGAGCTTACAAACTAGATTTTTTTTCATCCTGTCTCATTTGCAGAGCTGGCTGAATTTCAAAAGTTGCTTTTAGAGTTGTCTTACTAGATAGATCCTGGAACAGATGCTCTTTTTTACCTTGTAGTACAGTTACTATTTACCTAATGAGTGGAAGAACTGGGTTCAATTTTGTCCTCTCATTTCCCAGAACATTGATGTTATCACCAATCTATGCAGTATTTACGATGAAGGAATACTCACTCTCCTTTTGAAGTTGCTCTCCTTTGCACCTCACAATTCAGTGCAAACAAGCATGTCTGTTACATGTATCTACAGTATACTGCTTTGACAAGCCATGATGCAGGAAGAAAGCCTAACATAGTGGGATCTATATGCTGAAACAAACCGTGGATCTTGAGAAATTGTTATGAAGTCAGCCTTTTTTACTAATTCGTGAGTGTTTCTTCCAGTACCTGCATATTGTAAAAATGACAGTACTAGGCAAAGGTTTGACCTGAACAGTTAAATAGCTGGTATCTGCAAGTAATTGTTCTGGATTTGAATGTCCTTTTTTGCTTTGCAGAGAGGCAGCACGTGAATGTCGCAGGAAGAAAAAGGAGTATGTGAAATGTCTAGAAAATCGAGTGGCTGTGCTTGAAAACCAAAACAAGACACTGATTGAGGAGTTAAAAGCACTTAAGGACCTTTACTGCCACAAATCGGATTAATTTTGGATTCCCATTTTCACTTGTCCAGGTGGGATAGAGACTGGTTCTGGCTATACCCAGAGAGACAATGTAAACTTTTTATTTTCTAAACATTTCTTTTTTTCTATGCGCAAAACTGCCTGAAGCAACTACAGAATATACTTCATCTGTGCTTTGCATCAAACTGTGAATGTTCAAATACTTGCCTCCAGTTCTCCCCTTACAAGATTATTTTCATCGTCAAATAATCTCAGCGTGAAGAAGAACAGGCTCCTTTCTCATCTCCCCATCCTCTTCAAGGAATAACAGTGGTCACTTGGGAAGTTACTGTGGGGGAGGGTCCTTTTGTAATGATTTCAAGAATTTGTGCTGAGTTCTTTCCATTGCCTTAGAGACGGAACTACCCCAGCCTCTTGGCCCAGAGAGCTGTGGGCCGGCATACGTGGAGCACGCGTGGTGCAATGAAGAAGCAGTGGTTGCCAAATCGGTTTCACATACTTGTTTTAAACCATAAAAATACATGTCTAAGTGGCACGCCAAAGAAAAGGCACTTCACAGTCACGTTCTGTGTGTGGAGCTAACATACCTTTTTAAAACTAGCACAGGAGGGGTTCTGATGTGTGATCTGCATTACTAGTCCCTCCTGGACTAGTGAAAACTCCATTCCACAGAAACAAATGGATTGAAATGAGCTTCACTGGTCAGTTGTTGCTTCTTGCAGCATATGTGTGCAAGTGTGTTTAGCATTTTGAATGCACAGAAAGAAGACACCAGCTTCAGAGGTTATTGGTTGGAAAATGATATTTAGATGGGGATGGAATTCAGAATTAAAAAGGTACAATAGTGACATTTTGAAAACAGATGTGTAGTAAGCAACGGTAACACACTAAAGCACTACCTATGAGTATTGCAGAACAACTAAGCAGTTGAAGCATGGCCAATTCCACATACATATTCTCTGATGGTTTGTCCCAAGTCCTCTCAAGCAATCAGGTATTTCTGTTTCCCTACCACTATCTTATGTAATGGAAATTATTGTACGTAATGGAAACATTGTCCTGGTTTGCTAGATTATTTTTCAAACTTTGAGGCTGCGCATTCCATCCGTAAATTAAATTGCAGTATGGTAACTGCCAGGACAACCTCAAATATCGAAGAGAACTTCAAACATGAATATTCCGACTGGCTTCTGCTTCGCAAGAGACAATATTATTTGAACTTTCCCAGGCTAAACAAATTCTTAATTTATTCAGAGGATTTTTTCATGCAAAGGGTCAGATTTACCAAGTAGTTTATTCGTGTAAGTAAAATTACTTATGTGCCTCAGACATTTGCAAAATCAAACTTCTTGTGTGTACTGAGGAAACATGGTCTTTCACAGATTTACATTGTTAAAAAGGTAGATCATGTTAAAAATAACTACTCAGCATTAGGACTTCCGTTGTGTGTCAAAAAGAATCATGCTCAGTTTGTTTACTGGCGCTCTGAAGCCAGTCTCTTCATTTATCAACTTGGGTCATTTGATGGAGTATGTTTACTTTGGGCCTCTGGTCCAACTTTTATGTATAGAGACATATGAATAAGACTCTGGTCTATACTAATGCCTTGCCTAGCAAAGTATTAGCTAATATTTTTTTTCCCATTTGCTCTATCTGTTTTTAAGATAAATTTCAAACATGAGCTTCTAAAAGGTTATACAATCAATGTGACGTAGGAAGAACTTTTGCAAGACTTTTGATAGTTGAGTCTCAAACAGCTAAGCAGTATTAAAAGTTCTAGTTTTCTCATTTGAGAGGGCATTCAGTTTCCAAGAGACTTTAAAAGGAGCAGGGTTAAACTTGTAGCATTATTGTTAAATCTAGAGTTATCAATAATTTCAAATTGTTTGTATTTCAAATAAGAGAAAAGAAGTATCAGAATTATGAAAGAATTCATTTTCAACTTAAGTTTTGAGGGGGTTTATAAATGGTCTATTTTTATCTGTCATGGAGAATTGATTTTCATGTTTTTATTTAATGGAAAATGAATTTATGAGTTTAGCAATGCAAATTTAAAGAAGACCCTAAATTCTCAGCAGTGCTTTTCTAACAATTGTCTGATTTTTAAAGACAGAGAATACGTGCATGTATGACGGTTACCAGTTGTTCAGAACTAGCGCAAGAAGTAGACTGTTGATAATGCAGGAGTAATTCTCGTAAAATATTTAACTTTATGATGGCCTGATTTACACAGTTACATGGGATGGTTTCTCCCGTTTTGAGAAACGTGAAGAAAAGATGTACATTCCTACATGAAGGCTTTCTCTTTTGCAGAACCATCTGTCTGCAAAAGCTTGAGGTTTTGTACTGAAACTGCATGAGGCTAGCCGAGATCTGGGAGCTGTTCCTAGCAGGTCATGAGCACTCACTGGTAGTCACGCAGCACAAAGCCTGGCGGCTGAATGGACAGGGGAGCCTAAAGCAGTTCCTGGACATGGTTCTTCCGTTGAAGCCAATTTGTGAAGCAGTGAGAGGAGAACTGCATTACCAGTTTGTCTGTGCGTGGTCTGTGAGTAGTCTATCGTGTTATTAGTGTAGACTGCGTTAGCAACTAGCATTTCATTGAGAAAAAGAACATTATTTTAAAGTACCTAGGGATCTGTGAGAATCTTTATTTTTATTTATGCTGCACTGAGGATTTAGGGACTTGAATTTCTTTAATGGAAATTTTAAATGACGTTGATAAAAAATGTATTAGGCCAAGTACAAGGCTGGCTAGGGTTACCCATACATACTTTACTACTCATAGTGACCCAAAAAGGGAAAGGATATGATGCAGGCATTCATTCATGTGTTACTTACCAAGTAGTGAGGTTGGGGTAATCAGCTTCTATAAACTAAGGCCATTTGGAAGTAGGACAGCAATTATGCTGGCAGGGGGGAGGGAAGGTTAGTTTTATATCTCACGGTTGTGAGTTTTCAAGAATTGATAGCCTGTTTTACCTGAAGAGAGGGTTAGAAAGGGCTAGATCCATTATGTTCATAATAAACAAGAATTGATTTGAAATATAATTTTTGTAATGTCATTATTTTGCAAAACAACAGCACCAGTCAGGCAGTTAAGATATTGTCAGAGGTGCTCTTTTAATTTAGATATTCTTGGAAAATACATATGTATAATATATGTACATATATATATATATACACACAGTATATAATCTACAGCTCTGAGAGCTTTTAAGTCAGGAATGCTGAGTATTATAGTATATGGAGGTCAGAAAAAATTTTTACTTCTCTGTGTGTGTCTGGGTGTGTGTGGGTGTGCGCGTGTGTGAAAGCTTCCCCTGCCCCAGTAGTTCTGGGCTGCATTATTCTAGCGCTTATTACTGATTTGTTTTGTGCTGTTTCTCAGTTATCCATTTTCAAGAATTTTATTTTCATCTTTCATGATTTTTGTGAGTTGGTTTGTTTTTATTTTTTTATTTTTTGATGGAGAATTTTGAAATTATATAAACAGTTGTTTTACAACAACTACCACCCTGCAGAATAATTCACTTTTGTGCTTTTTCTCTTTGGCAGCTATATATCAAAGGCAGATCAATTGGAAAGGTTGTTAAGGTGTTGTTTTTAAAAGGAACCACTGGTAAGACTTCTGTTTTCCTCCTGGGGTAGTGGCTGTGCATTTTTATTTAAGCAGTGATTTCACCAGTGAATCAGATAGTTGCTGGCACCATTGCTTGTATCTGAAAGCACAATTTTAGCCTGTCATTGTCAGGACTGTACAGACACCTATACGTTCTGGCTCTTGTGTAGTTCATGTTTGTTGCAGACCACTGTCTTCTCTGGTACTTTACATTGATCAGAAAACTGGTGGGGTGTTTGGAATCATTAAGAGGCTCAGGAAAAAAATAAAAGTTAGATTTAATAAGGAAAAACAGCCCTAATAGTTTCTGATCTAAATTTGTACTACAGTTTTGTTTTGTTTTGTTTTAAATCTGGGCTTCCAGTAAACAGCAGCTGCAAGTAGTCATCTATTAGTGAAAACTGGCCTCTGCCTTTTTTTTTAATTTTATTTTATTTTAGACAGATAGCCAGTGCTTTTTATGGGTTAAAGACAAGTCTCCCCACCAAAGCAAGTTTATTATCAGTGGTTGCGAATCTATGACAGATCGACAGATCATAGGGGATTTCATTGGTTTCCTAAGACCCTGTTTTTATTGTCATTTTTTTTTACCCTGAAGCAGGTTAGTGATGTCACATTTGCCAATGATCTAACCAAAAGGTCATGTATTTATTTTTGTTACACGGTATTCTTTGTAAATGTTTAATTAAAATGTGCACTTTTTAAAAAAAAACACAAAAAAAAAACACAAAGCAGAACAAAAAAAAAAAAAAAGAAAGAGAGAAATTGGGTTTGCTTGAGAAGCTCCCTGGCAGAATTGCTGTAATCCTGCCACCTGCACACAACTCACTCCTCTCCCCACAGCAGTTGACTCTTTCACCAATTTAACTTGCTGATTAGCACCTGGCTTCCAGTAGGCATTGCTTCAAAATGGCAGATCTGGGCTAGCACTACTGAAGACTGGAAAGAATTAAGTGTATGGTGTCATAGCAGTAGGCATAGGATGGCTATTAAATTATTTTTAGACAGAGTAGAACTAGTTCAGTGACCCCAAGTGAGAAAGGTAAATTAATTTGGAAGGAAAACTAAATTCCTTCTCCGTCACTTTATTCCCCTTTTCTTAATTTGAAATTTGGCTGCAAATTTTGGAAGTTGCATTCTAGGAAAATAAATCAAAATCACAATTCTTTGGCACCAGGAATTGAAGATGTAGTGATAGTGTGTCACCCTGCTTTAAAAGAAAAAAAGCACAACTAACTTCCTTTTGCAGGAACAATGATAATTATCTACAATCCTGAAATATGTCACCGTAAGCAGGTTTTAAAAGCATACGGTACATTCATGGTTCTCACATACTGTGCCTGGGAACTCAATTTCCTAAGCTTTTGAATTTGCTAGTCGTAAAAGACAGTGATTTTGCAGAAAGCTGAATGTATCGTGAAGCTTGGTCACTCTGGGAGGAGCTGGACTGGTAAAGAGAAACAGGGTGATGAAAACCTATCTGCTGTGTGCTTGTGACAGGTTCAGGTTTGTGGATGGATGTGTCTTAAATCTGTGCATCTTTTAGGAAAAGGGACCAGATCCAGTTGGTGAAGGGGGGATTACATTTCAAGCATTTTGCCTTGGAATGTATTTTTTACATGTATTTAAGCTTTGGCCTGCAAAGAGACTTGCTCAGGCTAGTTTGCGTAGCACAAATTGAAGACAGTGACCTGTTGTGGTGCTGCAAGTGCAGTTTTTGACTTGTGTTACTCAATGCTGAGTTTAGGTCTCACTTTCACCAGCAGTTAGGAAAAAAAGCCAGCTGTCACCAGGAGCTGGGTGCTGGCAGGGGAAGGGCGAGGGATCGGCCGTAGCGATCCACGGTTAGTGCAGTTCCATAAGCTGACCGTTTACTGTACTCACGACTTGGGAGCAGTCAGTTCACTGAGTCTCAGCCTCAACTATGTATTTCTCTAAATTAGGGGATAGCTGAGTGTGAGACCAAGGGGAAGGCAGGCCTTGAGCCAGTCAGTTACCTGGAAATGGCCGCTGTTAAGATCTGGGGATGTTTGGATGCTCTCCACAAGTTGTGTTTTATCCAGGTGCCACTCCATTTTTTGTGTGTGTAATGACGTTTATTTATATAAAAACATGAAGTTTTAAAAGTTCTAGAACTGCGAGTTTGTATGAGATTTGACGCTGTGCTGCTTATATGGACTTCTAGGGATGGGATGGGGAACAGGGCAAGAAGAGGTGCTAGTTGGCAGCCAACCCCTCCACAGACTTGTCCACAGGTTGGTTGTTCATTTCAAAAATGAGTTACTTGTAGTCTGGATTTATAAGTTGAAATTGTTTTGAAACAGTGTTTTTCAGGGAAGCTTCCAGAGCGAGGGTGGTTATTCTCCCTTTGTAATGTAAGCTGGAAAGAGCAAGTTCACCTCATCTGCATTTCTGATTCTTTACCCAAACCATGTCAGCACAGAACAGGGTATTTGAGCTTGACTCCCACGTTCCTGTGGAAGTTAAAAGACTAAATGAAAATCCATTGTTGGAGGAAAATAAGTTCTTATTTACATTTTCCCCAAAATTTAGAAACATCCCTGTTGTGTTTTTTTGTTTGTTTTTTTTTTTTTTTTTACTTTTTTTTTGTGCTTTATCTGTGTTTTTTTTAAAAAAAATGTACTGGGTTATAATGCATTTTATTAACACTATGTACATATTAGCTGCTTTGTGTTTCAGAATGGTAGTAATTGCTTTGTATATTAAAGTGATTCTTGTGAATTTGTGAATTATTGTCATAAAGAAGTGCTTTTTCTTACTGTAACCTTTGTGGTATAAACTGTCATAACTCCCTTTTTACACAAACATTTATGTGCAGTCACATAAACATGCTTTTAAAAACTCTAAAAAGTCTCTTTTTTGGACAGGATGATCCGTTTACACTAATTTAGGGGTAAAACTAGAAAGGAATATGTGAAAAGGCATATTTTAAGCCAATGATGGTGTCCTCTCATGTTCTGTGGCCTGCTGTGAGTATTCATGAGATAATTTTCCCAAATAGAAGGCTTTTTAAATCTTAATTAGATTGAATTAATGAGAGGTTAAATCCTGAATAACAGTTTCTCTTTCACTTCTGATACTTATTTTTAAACCTGCTTTCTTGTATCTGCTTTGGTGGCAATTAGTTTTGTTTTTTAATAATGTGTGAAAGATTTTTTTTCTTTTCACAGTTTAAATATGCTGTCTTTCCCACATTTAAGCATTCCTGAAAGCCATGTACTACCGATTTTAAGAACAGAACAGAAGGCAGCAAGCATTGCAAAGATTGTAACTTGATTATGTAATCTGCAAGGCTGAATCAAAACACTGGGATAAAAGCCAGAAGAACAAATTCAGCACTGATGCAAACACACCTCTAGTGAAATCAAGGGAAAGAAGAAAGGTCAGCTCATTATGGCTGGGATTTGGTAGTTCTCACAACTAAGCACTTGCATAATGTCAGTCCTATACTTGTTCACAAAATCCACGTCTCGGTAATGAAAGAGAATCAAACAGGGATTAGTCCATAAGATAAAAATGCAGTTCGTCTTGAATTTCACAGTGAAAGAATCAGGTAATGCAGGTCCCTCTGCAGTCAGTAGGTCATCTGGTAAAGCTGATTCTTCTGATACTGCACCGCAAAGCTCTTTTGTCCATAAAACAGAGTTGAATATCATAGTCCATGTCTTTATATTAATTGAATACCACTTCAGTGTTGCAATGACATTTCAGAAAAGTTTGTTTCCTCACAGCATGACATGTTTGAGGAATGACTACAGAAATTCACATCACGTTCATGTCTATCCAGTCACTTTCCTGTGTCTTGGATCCTTTCCCAGGGGTGAGTATTTTTTCTCTTGCAAGTCTATTTATGCACTGCCCTACTGCTCAGGGACTGATGCACAAACAGGTCCTGCCTCCAGGTGAGTTCACATGGTGTCACAAATCAGGACTGATATAGTGGAACCACCCAAAAGAGAATCATGGTGATTTCTCTAGTTCTAGGATGAACGCAGTGACAGAAAGTGCTTGGGCAGGGTGTTAGCTTAAATACCATACAGCTGCTGAAGCACTGATGTGCATCATCTTGTTCTGCATCAGAAGCTCACCTGGGACTGATTGGTCAGGACACCAGAGTTTGCTTCCACCTCAGGCTTGCAGGTGTCACTGCAGAGAGGTGCTCTCAGCGCTTGCTGACTGGGCAATTACACCTGTCCTACTGCTGTCCTGCACATCTGGTGTGCTTCACAGCCAGCATTTGCCTGAAGCTGTGTGTAATGGTAATATAAAAAAAGCTCTGTAGCCTAGCTTTGGATGGCAGAAGATACTGCTCATTGGCTAGTGCAGAAGGGTGGGAGTACCACCCCAACAGGAATGGGGTATTCAGCTGAGTTGTTCTCACAGGTGCTGCCTGCCACTGAACACTGTAGCTTAAAAAGCAACCAGAACTGATGTGCTTGGGGTGGTGGCCCAGCAGCAGTATTTCTATTCTCCCTTTTTCCTTCTCGCTCTTGGCTCACCCCACAGCCTGCCTTTCCTCAGATTGCTAGTTAACACTGGCAAGGGGGACCTCTGCCCTCGTATTGCTGCATCAACTCATGTGCTTTACTCTCATCTGTTATGAAGAGGTGGGGGGCATCTTAGAAGATGTTTCCCTGTTCTGCCCTGCCATAGCTTGCTGGCCTCACTTAATGCAAAATGAGTGTCGGCAGGCACGAAGGGACTGCTATGGGAGGGAGAGGAGGCAGGCCCTGCTTAGCCTGCCTAGATTTGGGTCTCATCTGAATCTAAAGGAGTGCCTGCACCCCGGTGGTATTCAGAAGACAAGGTGTCCCTTTCAGGGGATGCCACTTTGTACTCAGAGCTCACTGAGCGGTGTGGGGCCACCAAAATTTCTGCTCTGCAGCTCAGGGCAAGGCACTCGCCTGAGCTGCCAGTATCTGTCTTATGCTGTGCTCCATGGGTATTTACTTATGAGCAGCAGCATTTCTTTAGCAGTGCCTTCAAACGTACTTCCTTAGCTTTGCAAAAGCTCCTGTGCAACAGCAGCACTGCAAAAGTCAGGCCTCATCTCTTCTGCCACATTCCTGCTCTCAGAAGGCTATGGGTTGTAACAGCAGCTCTAGGAAAACATGCTGTGAGCTGCTAGACATTAGAAAGTGATACAGTTAAACTGATTTGTTTTAAAAATGCAGACCTTCTACTGTCAAAGCAACGCCTGGAGCAAAACCCCCTTCTTAACAGCACGTAGGTTGTTACACTAGGCTTTCTTCTGTGCTGTTTAAGCATTTTAAGCAGGTTCCTACTAAGGCAACAGTGCAAGCTGCAGCTTCTTGCAAGAGCTGAGCATGGCTAGGTAGCAGACCTTCCCCATGGGCCAAGTCACGTGCACACCCAGGCACAAGAAAACAGCCCTCTGCTTTCTGCCAGCTCCAGCCCCAGGGGAAGCTAAAATATGCAGTGACCACAGACAAGCTAAGAGAGAAGGAAGCACCGGTGGGGAGGAAAAGGAAGAGGAGTGGTGAGAACTTAGTCACATTCCAAAAACTATACAGAAACAGAGTGGGGAGGGCTTGTAATTTTTTTTCCCAAGCATTGCTCACCCAGTTGATAGGACAGAAAATGCTATGTCTGGCACATTAAAACTCATTCCATGTTCTGTTTTTAATTAAAGCTGCTGTCCCCCTTCCCTCAAAGGACTTAAGCACTGGTTTCAGACTGCAGATTCCCAGCAAGCTGTGTAAGTACTGTTTTAGTGACACCATGTGGCTTCTATACAGACCAATGTAAGCAAGTGTTTTACAAAACATCCACCCTCGGGCTGAGTTCAGAGCCAAGCAGAGAACTTCAGCTGAAAACAGCTGACAGACTCTCCAGTGATGAAACACAAGACCTTTGGGCCTCATTGATCGGAGCTGTAATGACAAATGTGTCATTTCCAGATTGCAGCCTACCTTTCATTTCTGGACCACAGACCCTCTGCATCTTTTCCAGTTGGGAAGTTTGATAGAAGCAGAGGAGATACAGAGCTTGTTATATCCATGGCCCAAAGCAGCTGGTGGCTTTTGCTGTTGTCAGTGCCAAAGACATGCATGAACCTGACCTGGGTTAAGTTTAAAGGGGAAAAAAAAAATCTAGGCCACTGCTTTCACTAGTTTCCTGCTTCTACCATTAGAAAGAGATGGAAATCTGCTCGTGGTGTGATTCAGATTCCCAGCTGCCCTATTTATCGTGTAGGTTTTATGGGATAAACACACAGGTATTTCCAAAAGCTAAAGATAAAAAAGCAAGTTACTTAAAACAGCATCTAACTATCACTGTGCACCAGAGGCATGCTAAAATCTAGATGCTGTCTCAAGCCTCAAGCTCCCCAGTAGTAGAAGACTACATTCCCCCCAACTGTAAAGATTTTACAGCAGCATTCTCCTCTCCTAAATAACTGCTCTCAGAGACTGTGACCCACAAAACAAATTGAGGTAGAAAGTAAGAAGTGGTACTCTGAGAGTCAAGGACTGGTATTTAAAAAGCAGTTTTGAGTCTCCTTGCTTTATTTGCCCTGCTGGCGTGCACGTGTTTCTATCTGCTCAGAGGAGCCTTGATCCGTGTGAGGGAAAGTTAGACTGTTAGGGCCAACCCAGGAACCAGGACTGCTTTAGTACTGCAGGCATAGCCTCCACACTCGCAAGTCAGATATAATCACCACTAATTTCCAAGTTGGCTTACTCTGCAATGCTGCTCCTTCCCCCCCTGCTGACCCACCCCTTGTTTCCCTGTGCCTCTTCAGTTCAGCAGTGGCAGCAATAGACAAACTTTATAGCATCTGCCTTTGTTGGTTTTGCACTCTGAATGGCTTCTTTTACTGCAGCTTTAAAGGTGCAGAAGGTTTGAAGAGTTAAAGCATTTGGAGCTGCAGTCTTAGTTTATATTTCTTCCATATTACTTTACTTTTCTAAAGCTGAAATTATAAGGAGGAAAAATCCCACTTTATCTATTCTAATCCCCAATCTAAGTTTCCCACGGAAGTTAAGTGTCATTTGATTTTAAACGACAGGCCTTTTTATGACGTTTTTCATGCATGAAGATTTCTGCAGCTTAAATCAGCTTCAGAAATTACATTTGATAAAAAGTCAGTGGAAGACCTTATATGTTTGTTATTGAGGAATGAAGCAGAACTTTAACTTAAACAAGCAGAAGGTAAGTACAATCCTTGCTGTGTCAGACCAAGTGGAAGAAGATGGTGAAATAACAACCTCTGCAATTATATGCTTAGGAACAATTGTATTTAATAGAAACTAGGAGAGGGTTGAACAGGATGAGTGGCTTATTAACAAAGTATAGAGTCAAAAGTCATCCTTGTGACTGTGTCTCTGTGCTTTGTAGATATGAATGTCCTTATTGGAATCATAGTAGACCTCATACACAGAGAAATGGCCTTTCAGCATCTTCAAGAAGTTGTTATCCCGTTCATAGCGGATACGACAGGAAAGAAGAATCACGGTTTGCTCTGAGCATAGATGCTCTAATGTCTGAAGCAGTTCCCCAAATGTTTCTTCCAGATAAATGATGTCTGCACCAAAGACGAAGTCAAATGCTCCTGGAGGGAAATTATCCAGGTCTTTTCCCCAAGTCAGTTCCTTCACCACAGCTCTTGGATGGAGTTCAGAAGGTAAGTTAGCCTGTACGTTTGACTCCAGGAACTCCAGTGCTGCTTCCCTGTCTGTGATGGTAACACGGGCACCTAGGTGGTACAAGAGTTTGTCTCAGGTTAATGTCTGTAAACAGCATTTGGAATACAGTGCTCTAAGTCAAGCAGCCTCTTTAGTTCCTGTTAAACACTATTAATTCTCCTAAGCTGTTTGACTAAAAACAAAAGAACAAAACAGGCAGAAAGCCCGCTGTCTCCACACATCCTATTCTTCATCAGTCACTTAAGAATATAGAGTATTTTTCACACAAAGATTGTCAGATTAAACAAAGTGTCCTGGAGCTTTTTCTCGGTGGGAAAGTAGTTACTTTCTGCCTTTCCATAGGTGGCAACAAAGTTAAAGGGATTGCTACAATTAACCTGCTCTGATTCCATACTTGTGCTGTTGAAGAGAGGCAGCTAGAGAGCCTATTTCACAGGTCAGATTATATTTATGGATGTGAGATTTAGCAGTTTGACAAAATGTGGTTATGCCACTGCTATTATTTCAATCGGCACCTTCCACAGTCACTAGAGCTTTGAATTACAAAGCTAGCCTGGGACAGTTAGCACAAATTTAACATCGCACCCTGTCCCTGCCTCAGCCGTGGATCCCAGGTAAATCATTTCTCCAGACCTTGGTTTCGCTGTTTGCAAGGCAGGCCACCAAGGCTCATGCAAGCAGAGAGTGATTTCTGTCTGGAGCTTCATCCATGCTGCATTTTAGGACAAGGGGAAGACAGCAAGTACAGCTCCTGCTCCCCGGGGGAAGAGAGCTGCAGAACTCCGTGCTGCGGAGCTGCCTACCATGGTAACAGGCGGCAGCCTTAGCAGGGTCCCACCATAAAGTACACTGCCGTGGCACCACCGCCACAATAAATAACGCAGCAGGCTCCGAAGGCTGACAAGAAAGGGAGATGACTTGGGCAGGATACATCGCAGTTCACATCGGTGGCTTTGGTATTAACTTCTGTACCAGGCATGTAGCTGTAAGAGTGGCAGCTTTAGTGCAGCTGTAAATCGCTTCAGGCAAACAAACCAACCCTTACCCAGCAGTGTGGCCACTATTCCCAGCAGCCCCGTGCCAGCTCCCAGCTCGATCACCGCCCGATCTCTGAGATCCACGCTCCCCATCTCCAGATACGCGCACAGGACGACAGCCTAAGCGGGGAGACAAGGCCAGTTCAGCACGGGGCTCGCCTCAGTCACCTTATCACCGCGTTTCTGATTTACACCGAGGGAGGAGGTCGCGGGAAGGGCCGGGCACACGGGCACCTACCGCGTCCCACACCACGGCCGCCACGCCGAGCCGCTGCCAGTCCTGCCGCAGGCGCAGGGTGCGCCCCGCGAAGCGGAACGTGGCCCAGGGGCTGCGCAGGCCCTGCAGGCCCCAGCCCTCCGCGTAGGGCACCAGCGCCATCCCGGGGGCCTCCCGCAGGCACCGGGGGAACCGGGGGAAGGAAGGGCCCCGCTCCCGGCCCGGCCTCTCGCCGCCGCCGCCGCTCCCTCCCCGGGCGCCTGAGGCGGGGCGCGGCCCGGCGGCGGGCTCGGGGTGGGGGTAGGAGCTGCACAACGGGCGGGGGGGGAGAGGAAAAAGGAAAAAAAAAAATGAGGGCGGAAGTGGAAAACACGAAAGAAAGGAGCGGGGGAGGGGGGAACACGGCACCCAGTGAGCATCTGACTGGTACCAGTTTGTCGGTGGGCTTCTCTTTTTGACACCTGGGTGCCATACCGAAAGGTAAGAGGTGCCAAGCGCTCTGTGAGGCGCTGCCTGCTGCCACTGTTGCCTCTCTGTGGCTTCAGCTCATGTCTTGTGTTTCAGGGCTCTGAGGTAACGGCCATAAAGGAAACAGATTTGTCAAGCCTGCCAGCCTCATCGCTCACTGCCAGCTCTGTGAACGTGGTCCCTGCAAGTACTCATTACCAGCCTGGAAGCAGCCCCTCAATAACCAGGTAACCATGGCAGAAACACATCTCCCTTTGTGCATCTGGCCAGAATACTGACCACGGCAGCAAAGCCAGGGTTGCTCTCGAGTGGGAGTGTGGTGCTAACGCTCCTGCTGCCTTGTTTGTGCATGGGTTTCTCTTCACCTTTGGCTCCGTTTAATCTTGTTTGGCAAAACAACACAGTGCTCCTCTCCTTTGTCTGTCTTCATAACCAGTTACTTGAACTTGCTCCAAAGCCTGCTAAAGGCCATGGGAGGGCTGGGGAATCGTCCTGGCAGCGCTTGCACTCCAGCTCGCTAGAAGCACTGCTGCAGGTATTCCACCCACAGGCATAGAAGCTCCAGACGTGTTCTTCAGCCCGTGCAAGGAGCCAGACCTTGTGTGCAGAGGGCCACAAGAAAAATGCCTGGGGGAGTGGGGCCATGGAGTAGCATGGCTTCCCTGTGCCCATCTCTGGCTGTGTGGCTCGGCACACAACCAGAAGTCACCACCAGAAAGAAGAGTTAGGCCAGCCCTCAAACTTGAGGAGCATAACCAGCTCAAAAAAAAACCCCACACTTTCCCACAGGAAGCAGTGAATCTGGCTGGCAGACGAAAGCAAATGTGGTTACATGTGAAAGCCGTTGATTTCGACTGAATGGCTCAAGATTCATGAACCTTTGTGGAAGAGCATTACAGGCTGCACAGGGGTAGCAGGAACTAGAGCTTGTTTTTAGGGTTCTGCTACTGTAGGGGAATGAAAACCAGTATTTCATTTGCCCAAAACCAGTTCATACTTGTCTTATGGCAATACAGACTTCTTCTCATAAGCATGCCAGAGCAGGTGAGATGATTCAGCTTACTGTGGTTTTATGTCCTAAAGTGCTGGTCCCTTGCCACTGCTTCTGCTTTTCAGAGTTTGAAGCTGCTTGTGCTATTATCTCGATTTTTTTTTTTTAATTATTTATATAGGCAATGTGGGAAAAGCTAGGAGAATGATTGCACTTGAAATAAGAGCTCTGCTTGGGTGAGTTTTTGATTCACTTACACTGTGCTTAAACTACACCATCAGCCAAATGGAGGGAAACTCCCAAATGGCACACATCTTTTTCCTCCACCTCCTAAATCACATGCCAGCCTTGGGATCTCCAGCCTAGGAGATGTAGATGAGTGCAGCAGGGCTCCAGTGCTCCTAATTCCCTCCTTCCCCCCACCCCACCCCCAGCAGTTTTCTTCCCCAGTGGTATTTTGGAAGATGTAGAATCTGGCTAGATAGTAACTAGAGCGAAAGGAGGCTGTACATGAAAATGTACGCGTTTGTTCTCAAAGACAATAAGGTAGTGAGTGTTTTTTTTTCTCAGGAATGTGTTTTTGTAAGGCAAATATCCCTGAATATCTTTGGAGATCAGCAGGTTCTCTAGCGATCCTGCTCTGGTTCCCAGAAGTATTTTCCCTTCTTCCCTGCTAATGTTTCTTTGGCACTGACTTCCATGAGCCTTAGACAGAAGGTCAGGAATTACTTTCCAGATTAGAACTGGATAGTGAAGCTATTAAAAGGCAATCAAGTGCACTAAAAGCTCAGAAAGAGCCTTAAATTTAACTTTCTCCCTCTCCAAATCTATTTTTTAAGTTACAATATCCAACTACTATAGTGGCAAGAAAGAGATGTGTTTTTTTTCCACCCTTCCTGACAGTAAAATGATAAGGAAAATGAAACAACAAAGAATTTTAGGCCTAAAACAATTGTCCAGAACTGAAATGCTTTTTCTCCCAGCAGGGTGAGAGCTTAGCACAATGATAAAGTTTCAAGAATGTACCTTGGTTCATCCTTTTAAGACTGCAGAAAGCAAGACAGACACCTAAGCAGCAGATAAACTTTCAAAGTAGGAAACAGCTCATTTTATGGAAAGCAAGGGTGAGTTAAAAGAAACACTGATACAAGTCCGTTCTTATCTCACTCAACTGCTTAATAGAACAAAGGCATAATGTGTCCAACTGTAAGTAAATTGCGCTGTACCAATAAGCTTCTTTGGGTAATTTTAAAAAGTGTTTCAGAGTAGCGGTCCTTGTAATACTCAGGAGATCAAAGAATCAAGTAGATGAGTTGGAAATGAGTGCAAATTATTTTGAAGCTATAGTAATATACCTCCCTTATTGAAATTTTCTCCTTACTGCTCAATGTTTAAAATCCTCCCTTAGAAATGAATGCAACAGTTCTTGTGATGGCTCTGCAGACACTGCATGTACCACAATACCATCCCCAATGTGGGGAAAATACTGCATCCATCTCACAGTCTCTGGTTACCAAGGCAAAGGCAGGTATAAATAGAAGCAATCTATTTTTTTTTAAACTCTGTATCTGGAAACTTGTGTTGTTGATAACCCTTTGACAGCAACGCCTTATCCCAAATGGTTCTGTTGTACAAAAGGCTAGCAGCAACTATTTGTGTAGAAACTTCTGGTCATACATGTTTAATCCTTCCTTTCTAAATAAATATCATCTACGTCTGGTTGTCATTCCACTGAAAAACAAAAGCTGTCTTTGAAGAAAAGTTTTGACAAATATCTATTTTGCGAAGAACTTTCATCAAGCCAACAAAAACTAGCAAACACAAGGCATGGAGGAAAACTCGGAAAAGAAAGTGGTCTTTCTCCCTAACTGTCACCGTAAGTGGCCATTCAAAGGACTAGCAGCGAAATGGTTAAAAACTTTTACACTTAAATCTTCACCAGGAGCTTCCAGATTCTCTACACCACTGAGATAGATGGGGTGGTGAACTGCTTTCTGTTAAGTGAAAAGGGAGTAAACCAGAGATTAATTTGGCTCTTCACAGCTTGCAGTTGCAGATTTAAGACAGCCTCATCTTGAACTGACTTGGATCATCTTTGAAACCAACAGGGTGAATTAAAACTGAAAACTTAAATTTCTGCAGAAACTGACAGGTTATCTGTAGACTTTATAACTTGCTGGTCCAGCAAGATCACTGAAAAATTATAAATATCAAAATAATATAAGGTATCATCCACTGTATCATTTTCTTTACTCACACAGTTACATTAAACAATGGAAGTAATGAGAAAAAACACAAAGATGTATAATTTCATAAGTGAATGAGCTGAAATACAGGATGTTTCTGAAGAAGGAATAGTTCCCATCAGTAGTATTGCATTCACGCCTTAAACCTCACATCTTGATAAACTGTCAGACATAATCACCACGTTTATTAACTCTCTTGCTACAGAAGAATCACTTAGCTTTTAGTGGAATTATGTGACTGATCTCTCAAATGCCTTGCAGTTCTGAAAGCTGACATTATTCTGAAGTTTTAATTAAGCAACAAAAAGCAAAATGAGCCAGATCTTCCTTTCCATAAGCAACAACTGCACTTCATTTGCTGGAAACCTCCTCCTCTTACAAACGTGCTTGTGGATGCTCACAGATCTGCAGCCTCTTGCAGGTCTCTACTAGCCAGACTTCCAGGCCACAGGATGCCACGTGTTGGGCCGTGTGACAGGAGCACGCCTCACCCACTGGAGCATGAGCGACATGTGAGTGGCCATCAGTGCACACACTGGTGGCTTTTGGGCAGCACTGTGCCCTCCGGTGCCCTCCTTCTCCTGCAGCTTCTGTACTTGCTGCAGCTGGCTGATGGCCACACATCAGGCTGACGTGGGGCTGGCATGTGGGATGCTGGAGCAGGGAAAATGCTGCAAAAAATACCCTTTTGTGGAGTCTGAAGACAGATCTAAAGGCTTCATTTTAGGTGCCCAAATTTCTGATGAGTTCTATAGGTGCAGTGTTATGTAATTGGAGGGGAAATTACAGTGCAAGCAGTGTACTGTATTTAAAACTAGTTAACAACAACTAATTAAAACCGCTTTAAAACCAGTATTTGTCTATACGTAGGCAGACAGCCGCTAGAACATTCATATGGATGCAGGAGCATTTGCCACAATGCAAAGGTTACTCTTTTTAAACCAAGCAGAAACCAAGTTTTAAGAAAAATGGTTTTTATTTGTTTGTTTGTTTCTTTTAATTCCTGATGATATTAGCAGCTTTTCTCCACTTTTTAGAAACAAAATCCTTCAGACAATGGAGACGAAAGCAACAGTCAAGTCTGAGCAATTTCACGTACCTTAGACCTTGCAGGAAGGGTTCCTGCGGGCCTCTTTCCAGGCTTTGGCGGCCCAGGTTGGAATTAAACCTTCAGAAGTTTACCCTAAACAAACCTACTGCAGGGCTTACTCATGCAATTTGCCTTTTCTGAATGAAGTCACACATCCATGTCAATGTTTGTGTTAAAATACTGGAAAGCGTTTTCCTTTTCCTCGTAGGAAAACTGTACACATGACCTGCAGTAACAGCTACTTCTAACGCTTGGCTCATCAGAATAGTTGTTCGATCAGCTCTCTGCCCGGCAGCAAACAAAGGACAGCTTTGCAGGCTTTGCTCTTTCTTGACTTCAGCACATCTCAAATTCTCTTCTCAGGCATTGAAGTCTCCATTAACTCTACTGGCTGCAATTTGTTCTCCTTAGCCTTTGATAACTGCAAAGCCAGTTTTATTTTTTCTTAAGACAAAATAAAGGTAGGGCCAGAAAGGAGAAGCTAAGGTCAAAAAACATTCACTCCCGTACGTTTGTTCGATTGGCATCACTGCAGTGATCCAGATGTTTGCACGCTAGGAAAGAAACCCCTGCACTGCCTGTAATGACATCTTGGATTGCTGTGGAGACAGAAGTATGACTTTAATCAATGACACCGCTGCTGCAGTCTGTCTTTGTGCTACGAAGCACAGCCTCCCAGCCCCGGCTAGCTGGGTAGTGGTGAATACATCCTAGCCAAGAATACTCCAGGAGGTGATTTCAAAACTGAAAATTTAGGGCTACTAAAAACCCACCCTGTGTATTCTGAACAACCTCGCCGGTTACTTTTTATTCAAGTCCTCAAGGAAGCATTGGATCTATTTCCCTAACTACTGTTTTGCTTCATTTTTTTTCCCTTAAATGGCCATGGTCTTATGTTACGTGTCAGCTTCAGAAGACAATCACGCCTGCAATATTTTTGTCCTGTCAGCTGGTCGTGGATTTCAAAACAGGATGCCTATTTTTCCCCCCATTATTCGCAGCAGTGAGGCACAGAAGCCCGAGCTTTTGTTTTCAGTTGGTTATACAGGTTCAACCTGGTGATTCATTCTTCCTGCAGCTATGTTTCCAGGAAAAGACAATGCCGTGGCCCTCCTCCAAGTTCCCCACAGACTGCTTGAGAGTCAGAGCAGAACGCGCTCCTCCTCTGCAGCCGAGACACTTTCTAAGAAGGGATAAATGGATGAAAACACGTCTCAGCGCTGCTGGAGACGCACAGCCTCGGAAAAGCACACGCAGCACTATGCCAAGGTGAAGCTCAGCGCACAAGTGAGGGGATTGTTACTCGTGGGCCCTGTGAGGCGCAGCCACGAGCAGCGAGCTGGTCCCCGCTTGGGACTGATGCTGAGCCTGCAGCTTCAGCAGAACCCTGCGGTTCCCTTGCGGTCCCTTCAGCAGACTCTCCGGGCTGCGTGGGCGACAGCGAGCCTGCAGCTGCGGGAGCTCCTCAGGAGCCCTCACGCAGCCGGGAGCTGCCGGGGAGCAGCGCTGAGCCCGGGGCCGCACCGAGCCCCCCCCCCGCCGGGCGCAGCCCCGCCGCCATCATGCGCCCAAGGCACGTGTGCGCCCGGCACGGGGCGGGGCGCGGCCAGGGGGCGGGGCTTGGCCAGGAGGCGGGGCAGAGGGGTCCCGGTGACGGCTCCCGCGCCCATTGGCTGGCCGGCGTCACGCGGCGGGCGGCTGGGCGGGAGCGAGGCGCGGCCCCTCCCCGTGCCGGGGGCGGGCGGCCGCGCGCGCGAGGGCCGTTGGTGGGGGGCTCGCGCGCGGCCGTTGAGGCGCTGAGGCGCTGAGCCCGGCCCCGCCCCGCCCCGCCCCGCCCCTCCGCTCCCTCCCCTCCCCGGCGCCTCGGCTCCCCCCGCCCCATCCCGGCAGCCGCGCAGCCGGGGCCCGGCGGGGGAGCTCGGAGCCCCATGGGCAACACCGTCACCTGCTGCGTGTCGCCGGACGCCAGCCCCAAGCTCGGCCGGGCCCGCGGCGGTGTCGGCGGTGGTGGGGGGGGAGCAGCGTCGGCGGCGGGGCCCGAGCGCTGGGCGGACGCCTACCAGGCGGCGGCGGCGGCGGGCGGTGGTGGTGGCTCGGCGGCGGCGGAGGCCGACTCGGGGGACTCGGATCCCGGCGGCGGCGGCCCCCACCTCCAGCACATCAGCGACCGGGAGTTCCCGGATGGTGAGCGGCGGCGCGGGCCGGTGCCCGGGGCGGGGAGGGAGGGAGGGAGGGAGGGGGCCGCTTTGTCCCGGCCGGGCCCCCCCCGGCCCCCCGCGCTGTCACCGGGGCTGCCCCGCCGCAACGCCTCCGCCCGGGGCTCGGCGCTCGGGGCCCTCCCTCGCTGCCCGCCCCGGTCACGGCCCGGCCGCCGTTGAGGCGCCCCCGGCAGCGGGGGGAGGCCGGCCTCCAGCGCCGTGCTCGCGGCGTTCCCAGGCTGTGCCGGGCGGGAGGAAGGAAGAGGGTGTGTGGGGAGCGAGGGCACGGCGCCGTGTGCCTGACATCACCGGGGGCTCGGAGCCCAGCCCTGCGCCGTGCGATGCTCGGCCGGAGCTGCCTGGCTCCCAGGTTGCTCCCCGTGCCGCTCGCCGTGCCCCCGGTCTGCTCGTGGACGTGTTGCTGTGCGCATCCCCTCCGGTCAGACCTGGGGGGCGGGTGTCGCAAAGGCTCGCTCCCGGCGTAACTCCTCTTGAGACGTGCTTGCGGGTTTGTGCTGTGCAGAGTTACTGAGACAACAGGTTAGGGGTGCTCCTGTCTGCCTGTCAGCTCACGTGGTTCTGCAGGCATA